GGCGCGGATGTCTTGGGACACTTGTCCGGAGAAAACGTGCCTTGGCCCATGGCAGTGGGCATTGAATCTGCTAATGTGCCGGATAACGTTAGCGCTAAAAATAATAACGCTAAAAAAAAAATAGAAGTTTCAGCGTTTAGCAAAAAACGGAGAATGGAGCGCAGAGGACGCGAAGTCGTCCATCCCGCAAAACCGCAAGACCTTGCTCTCCATGGTTCCAGCAGCCCTTGCACCTGGAGGTCAGCAGCCTGTGCACAGTGCCGGCTGCAGATTCTTCTGCAGGCTCAGGCCCTGGGTATTTGTAGTCTTCCAGGGGGTCGGGGACGGATGAATTGGTAAACTTGTCCATCTTAAAACGTCTATTGCCTAGATCTTCAAGCACTTGGTCATATTCGAGCACTTGGTCCTGTTCGTTTTCGAGCATTTGACCGGCTTGGAGCCCTAGGTCCGGGTAGAGCACTGGACGGTGTTTTGAGCACTTAACCTGCATCGAGGACTTGGACGCGTTTCAGCAATGGACTATGTTCATGCACTTGGTGAGGTTTGTGTTCGTGCACTTGACCGTCCTCCAGCACTTGACATTCCTGGGTCCTGTTGGAGCACTGGACGGTGTTTCGACACCATGGTCCTGATCGAACACTTGGTCGTTTTCATGTTGGCGCACTGGACCGTCATCGGGCATTTGAACCTGTTCCAGCACGTGGTGGTGTTCCAGCACTTGGTCCTGTGTCAGCACTGGACAGTGTTTGAGCACTTGACCGCGATCCACACATGAACGGTCGAGCACTAGGTCGCGTTAGAGCGCTGGACGGTGTTCCAGCCCTTAACCTTCATCAAGCACTTGGTCGTGTTGGAGCACTGGACCGCGCTCGAGCCCTAGACCGTGCTCTACCCGAAAACGGTTGACAAAACTAAAGGAAAGCAGAGGCTACGGAGATTCGGTCGTCCATACACCGAATTCGTCCTCTTACAGGAGGAGGCCGCGGTCCTTTGTCTTAGGACACTTGTCCAGAGAAAACGTGCCTTGGCCGATGGCAGTCAGCACTGAATCCGTGAACTTAAAAAAAGTTTCAGCGATTAGAAACCGCGGAGAACGGAGCATAGAGGAAAAAGAACGGAAACCGCAGCGTCAAACTGCGTCTGGTGCAACCACGCACCACGGCGCCAAACCTTTCTTCCAACGTTTCCCTAACACGAAACGCCTTCCTGGTTAGTGTGGAATGTGGCCAGGTCCTGCGGGGCAGAGCAGGATTCCGCCTGCAAATCGAAAGGACCGAGACGGAAAATCACACACGCGGTTTGAGATCGCGTTCGGTCGGATTGCAGCCCGGCCTGCTGACAGTGGATCGATCCGAAGTCGGCTGCCTGGACGAATCGAGGGCACCCCACCCACCCTGTCCTCGTGAAGGCTGGTGGGCTAACCTCGGTGGTCCCCACACCCGCTTCTCCACCAAGCCTAGAAACAAGGCATCCTGACTGTCACCAAGTAGCTTTGAAAACTGGCGCGCACAGCCTATTAAATTAATTACCTTTCGAATCATTTATTAAGCAAGCAAGAATTGACACTGACCATCTGAGGCACGTGGATGTAGGAATTTATTTTGCAAGCAGCCGGCTGCCCAGAAGACATCCTGTAGCGAGGAAGGAAGAGGTTTTGACGGGCATTCTCTTGGCACAGAGCGCACTCTAAAACGCTGAAAGGCGTCTGCAGCTCCCTAAGGCTCCCGGCTGCCACGTACCGGTAAGCAGCAGCCACGTGGCACACAACAGCAGAACACGCTACAAATGCGCCGCCAGATGGCGGACCAAACCCGCGATCCTCCCCTCGGGTTTCCGGTGCTGGGCGGCTCACACTCCTCAGGGCTTCTCCTCTCCGTGGTCTCGGTGTCCCGCGATTCCTGGCGACGGTGGGGCGCTCTGGACCAGGGCCGGGGCTGCTCTGCCTCTGGGAACGGTTCTACGTCGGAGTCCTCCACGCTTGCCGGGGTCGCAGGTCGCCCTCGTCCCTCGTGGAAGGCCCGCGGGGAGTCCGGCTGGCTGGAAGACTCGGTCCTCCCGTCGGATCCCGACAAGTCACCCTGGAGACATGAAAGCGGTTGCTCGAGATCGTCACCTCTGTCTGAGCGGATCCCTCCTAGGACCGGATAGAAAGGAAGAGGCCAGGGCCCAAGTTCTTCTGAGAAGGCGGGGAGCAGAGGAGGTTCGGTCTCTGGCGCCACCGGGGCGGAATCCCAGGCCTGCTTCACGTGCACGGACCAGAAAGTCGGCTCCATCGCTCTTGCAGCACCTGCAGCAGGAGGTCAGCAGCCTGTGCACAGTGCCGCCTGCAGATTCTTCTGCAGGCTCAGGTCCTGGGTATTTGTAGTCTTCCAGGGGGGCGGGGTCCGATGAATTCCTGCACAAGTCCGCCTGCAAACGTCCATTGCCCAAAGCAGTCCTCCGACTTCGCCTCGGAGGTCGAATCACGGAGACTCTCTCTCTAAAAGCGAGCCCAGAATCCCCAAAGCACTGGAATCGCAATCGTCCTATGGTTTACTCAAGTGTCCGGTGTAAGCTGCCTGGTACTCGAAGGTGGAGCTGCAGGCTGGCATCCAAATCATTTCTGTTTCTGCCTCCCACTTCTTCATTGGCTGGGCCCACCCACCACCGTGGACCTGAGGGCCCGCCGACTTACCACGGACTGGCACAGATCTCGAGCCCGGTCACAACTTTGTTTTGTGTGAGTGAGAATCCGTCAGACAGGTCTGTGGTGCCCGTCTTTTTGCCCGTGGTACTAGCGCTCGCCTGGTCCGTATGTGCACCAGGAACGGAGAAAAACTGGGAGACTGAGAACGCCATCAGAGACACTGCCTCACTCGAGCCCTTGAACATGCTGTTCCCGAAAAACGTTGACTAAAGGAAAGGAACACAGCAAGTATTCCGTCGTCCATACACCGAATTCGTCTTCTTTCAGAAAGCCGGGTTCAGATGTCTTGGGACACTTTCCCGTCGGAAAAACGTGCATATCGACCTTATCGGTACGAAATCCGTAAAGACAGAAATCGGGCGAGTTTCCAGCGCTTATAAACGACGGCAAGCAGAACGAAGAGGACCCGAAAACGAATTAAAACCAAGGCGTCCTAACCGCAACTGGGAGTCGAAATGCACCTGAGGGCCCGCGGCATGACCACCGACTGGCGCAAATTCTCAAGATGGGTAACAACCCGGAGTGTGAGAGTGAGAAGCCTTGGAGGTCCGGTGTCTTGCCAGGGGTACAAAAGCCACAGCTCCCCTGCGAACCGGGAAAAGAAGGCCAGAGGGCCAAGGCCACAGGAGACCCTGCAGCACTTGAGACCCGGTCAGATGAACGACAGGAAGGCAGCGGAGGGGGTGATACCGTCGTGAAAACACCGAACTTTCCGTCATCCAGTCGGTCGGGCACGGATGTCTTGGGACACTTGTCCGGAGAAAACGTGCCTTGGCCATTGGCAGTCGGCACTGAATCTGCTAACGTAACAAATTCCACGTTTCGTCGTTTAGAAACAAGGGCGAGTAGAGCTTAGAGGACGCGAAAACGAACCCAAACCTCAGCGTTCTGACCGCGTCGGGTGCGCACTCGCACTGGGGCGCCAGACGCTTCTTTCAGCGTTTCGCTCGCGCCATGGTGTTCGTGGTTCAGGTGGAATGTCGCCAAGTCCTGCCTGGCCCAGCCGGATTCCGTCTGCAACGCGAAAGGATCGAGGCTGAAAATCACGGACGCGGTTTGAGATCGGACTGCAGCCCGGCCTGCTGACCGTCGTCAGTAGGAAGGAAGTCCGCTCTCTGGACGAATCGCGGACACGAGCGAATCGCCATCAGGCAAAACCGCCAAATAAAGCTGTAGCACCGGGAATCGCCACTGAGCCGTTTTCTGGCGCCACGGCGACCCCTGCGGCGAAGAATTGTCGGGACTGCAGCTCGGAGACCGGGCTGCGGATCGGCTTTGGAAGCGTTTTGACTTCTGACTTGGACTTCGTCATTGCCCGATGCGCCCGCTGTGCCCACCACCACCGTGGACCCGCGGTGCGGCCGACCAACCGCGGACCCGCGCAAGTTCTCAAGTTCTGACCCAACCCTGGAGGGCGCGAGTGAGAAGCCCTCAGGCTGGCCGGCTCTGAGCCTTGACCGCGGTACAGGCGCTCCCCAGGGATGTGGTATCAGCGCCTCGACGGGAGAAATAATGGCGAAAGACCCCCGGAGACAGCGACGCTCTCGAGCCCAGGACCGTGCTGTCCGAGTACGGTGGGCACAATAAAAGGAACGCAGCCGCCACGGATTTCGGTCCTGGAAACCCTGCCTTTGTCCTCTTTCAGGCGGCCGGGAACGAACTTCAGGGGACCCTTGCCCGGTGGAAAACGTGCATTTCGACGGCATCCGTACGAAATCCGCTAACAGACAACGGACGAATTTCCAGCGTTTAGAAACGACGAAGAGCTGCACATAGACGAACCGAACACGAACCGCAGACACGGTGTCCTGACCGCACCTGGTGCAACTCGGGGTCAGGCTTTTCTCGTGGCGTTTTCCTCACGTCCTACAGTTCGTGTTTCGTGGTTCGAGGTTATGGTGGAATCCTGCCGCAGTCTGCCTGGCAGAGCCAAATTAAGGCCGCTATAGGAAAGAACGAGGCAGAAAACCGCGGGCCCGGTTTGAAATCGCGGTCCGGGCCGTCTAACCGCCCATCGAAATCGGCTGGAAGGGCGAATCCAGAGCACGGCGAATCCCGGGCACGCGCGGATGAACGAATGACAAAACCACAAGATCTGGCTCTGTGCGCCTTGAATCGCGGCCTGGCCGAATTCCAGCGCCACAGCGACCCCTGGAGTGGAGAAGTGTCCGGTCGGCCACTGGGAGACGGAGGTGCAGGTCAGTGTCCCATGAGTTTTGGCTTCAGGTTTGAATTTTCTTGGCCCCGGCTCCGGCTCTGCTCACCCACCCCCGTGGACTCGGGGCCCGCGGACGAACCGACAACTGGAGCAGGTTCGCGGGGCCGCTCACAATCTCGGAGAACGCCAGTGAGAATCCTCAAGCCTGCCAGGTCCGGAGTCTTTCCCGCCTTACCAGGGCTCCTGGGCCACAGCCACCTCGCTAACCGAAAAGGTCGGCGATACTGGGTCTGCGAGCGCAGTACTCGAGCCCTGGACCGTGCGGTTCCCGAAAACTGTCAGCTCCACAGAAGGAACGCAGGCGCGACGAAGATTCCGCGGTGCGAACACCGCATTTGTCTCCCCCAGGCGGCCGGTTCGGATGTCTTGGGAGACCTGACCGACTTCGGTGGGCACTGAATCCGCTAAGGTTAGAAAGCCGAGGAAGTATGGCGTTCAGAAAGGCCTCGGCCCTTTCCTATAAGGACTGCGATCCGGTTCTGCCAGGCTGGCTGCAGCGGGATTCGACCCCAGCCACGAACAGGACGACCAGAGGACAAGGGCACCAGAAACGTTTGTCGCCTGGTACAAGTGGTGCATCCGATATGATCAGAACCCTGAGGTTTCCATCGTTTTCGCGTCCTCTGCGCTCCATCCTCCGTTGTTTCCAATCGCTGAAACTTGGATTTTTTTTTTTTTTTCGTTATCGGATTCAGTGCCGACTGCCATCGGCCAAGACACGTTTTCTCCGGACAAGTGTCCCAAGACATCCCTGCCCGACTAACTGGAACACCACAAGTTCGGTGTTTTCAAAACCTTATCTCCGTCTCCGTTGCCTTCCCTTGGTTCCTCTGACGGTTTTCAGGGACAGCAGGGTCCAGGGCTCCAGTGCGGCGCTGTCTCCTGTGACCTTTGCCCTTTCGCCTTTTCTCTGTTCTCAGCGCGATTACGACTTTTGTACCGCGGGAAAGACGCCGGACCGCGCCGGCGTGATGGCTTCTCACTCTCACCCTCCAGGTTTGTGAACGGCCTTGAGATCTGTGCCAGTCGGTGCTTAGTGTTCAGGACCTCAGGTCCACAGTGGTGGGTGGGCTCAGCCAATGAAGAAGTGGGAGCCAGAAGCAGAAATTCTTTGGATACCAGTCTGCAGCTCTGTCTCCCAGCAGAAGGGCTACTTGTTCAGGGCAGTGGTCCTTGTGGCGCCCGCACTCATCCGCGTGGTGATTTCATTGCTTTGGAGTTACTGGATCCGCTTTTAGCGAGCCTGTGTCCGTGACTCGACCTCCGAGTCGGTGTCCCACGATAGACGATGTCGTGCAATGGACCTTTTCAGCTGGACAAATTTCCTAATTCGTCTGACCCTCCCTCCCCGGAAGACTACAAATACGCAGGGAGGGAGCTTGCAGAAGTCTCCGCCGCCTGCACCAGGGCACAGGCTGCTGTTTGCACGAAGAACGGAGAAAGGATGGCGAGAGGACAAAGGAACAGGAGACACTGCCACACTCCAGCCCTGAACGGTCCTGGAGAACATGAGTCATCCGGCACTTGACCTTCGTGGACACTTGACCGTGCTCGAGCCCTGGGTGATGCTGCACCCATTTCGAAACCCTTGACAAAACGAAAGGAAAGCAGAGACTACGGAGATTCGGTCGTCCATCCACAGAATTGGTCCTCTCTCAGAAAGCCGGGGTCGGATGCTTTGGGACACTTGCATGGCGGAAAACGTGCGTTTCGACCGCATCGGTATGAAATTGCCTAACAACAGACAAGGGACGAATTTCCAGCGTTTAGAAACGACGGCGAACGGAACGAAGAGGACCCGAAAAAGAATGGAAACCGCGGCGTCCTGATCGTACCTGGGACCTGAAATGACTAACCGCGGACTAACCGCGGACAGGCTTGCTGGTCACAGCCCCGGAGGGTGAGAGTGAGAAGCCGTCACACCGGCGCGGTCAGGAGTCTTTCCCGCGGTACAAAAGCCATAGCCCCGCTGAGAACAGAGAAAAGAAAGCGGAAGGGCGAAGGCCCCAGGAGACAGCGCCGCACTCGAGCCCAGGACCCGGAAAACCGTCAGAGCAACCAAGGAAGGCAAAGGCGACAGAGATGCAGTCTTGAAAAAACCGAACCTGTGGTCATCCAGTCGGTCCGGCGCGGATGTCTTGGGACACTTGTCCGGAGAAAACGTGCCTTGGCCCATGGCAGTGGGCATTGAAT